AAATAATCCAATGAAAAAATGAGCAAAGGACCTAAATGGACACTTCTGCAAAGCAGACATGCAGATGGCCAAGAGACATAAGAAAAAATGTTCAAAATCACTAATCACCAGAGAGATGCAACTTAAAACGACAATGATGTATCATCTCACACCTGCCAGAATGGCTAGCACCAACAAATCAACAAACAAGCGCTGGCGAGGATGTGGAGAAAAGGGAACCCTAGTACACTGCTGGTGGGAATGCAGACTGGTGCAACCACTATGGAGAATAGTATGGAGTTTCCTCAAAAAATTAAAAACGGAACTGTCATTTGACCCAGTGATCCCACTTCCAGCAATCAGAAAGAATACATGCACCCCTATGTTCACAGCAGAGCTATTTATAATAGCTAAGATGTGGAAAGAGCTCAAGTGCCCATCAGCAGATGAGTGCATAAAAAAAGCTGTGGTAGATTTACATAATGAAATACTATGCAGCTGTAAAAAAGCAGGATCTTTTACCCTCCGAGACAGCATGGAGGAACCTGGAGACTATTATCCTAAATGAAATAAGCCAGCAGAGAAAGACAAGTACCACATGATCTCACTTACATGTGGAATCTAATGAACAAAATAAATTGATGAACAAAGTAGATCCAGAGACATGGAAGCATGGAACAGACTGATGAACCTCAGAGGGAAGGCAGGAAGAGAACTTATATGCGTATATGCATAACCTATGGACAGAGACAATAATATGGTGAAGGCCTGCAGGGAGGGAGGGCAGGGAGTGTTAGAGCAGAGTGGAGGGGGCCAATAGTGTTAAAAGGGACAACTGTAATACTCTCAACAATAAAAATAAATTTTTAAAAAATAAAAATAAAAATGACCACAGAGACTTTCAACTCTCATCTCCCTGCAAACCTACTTCTCTGTTCTTTTATCCCCTGTGATAGAGAAACAAAGACTAGCATTTTTAATTTCAATAAAATTATATTGGTGCTGTTTCTTCAGTTAAAGCAGTGGTTCTCAACCTCTGGCCCTTTAAATACAGTTCCTCATGTTGTGACCCAACCATAACATTATTTTCGTTGCTACTTCATAACTGTAATGTTGCTACTGTTATGAATCGTAATGTAAATATCTGATATGCAGGATGGTCTTAGGCGACCCCTGTGAAAGGGTCGTTCGACCGCCAAAGGGGTCGCGACCCACAGGCTGAGAACTGTTGAGTTAAAGTAAATGACATGGTTATATTTGGACTATTTGTTTATTAATGAGTTCCATATGAACTCATCAACTTTCATTAATTTACTTTGTAATTCAGTTTATTATTAAGTTATCTATTCTGGTCTTTAAAAAGAACTAAACATAAAATCAACATATAAGTGGGTAAAAAGAAATTCATGTCTCCAGTCAGTGCCATCTATGAGGAGCCACTTTCTAAAATCATCCAAATACTGTAACAGATATTTTATTGCTGGCACTGCTATCTGAATTGCCAAACAAGCCCCCACAAAAAGGTACCATTAATGAGCAGTAACTTAGTTCCCAGTGATATCATAAATTATCAATTAATTCACTCACCAAATAGTGCCAGGCACTCTGCTAAGTGCTGGAAATATAATGAACAAAATAATTCCTGCTCCCATGCAGTTTCCCGCATGGTAAGGGGAACACATATCAATCAGTCATATAATGGAGTATAATTACAAAGTGAGACTAAGGTTATAATGGAAAAATACAGTGTAGTAAAAGAATCTGATCTAGATTGGCCCTGGGCATCAGAGAGGGCTACCCTGAGGAAGTGATGCTTGAGCTGAGATCTGCAGGACTAGGGTAGGTATGTGTGTGGTGTGTGTGTGTATGGGTGTATGGGGGGGGGGGGGCGTGGAAGAGGGCTTGTGAGGATTTCAGGTTGAGGGGACAGCATGTGAAAGGGCCTGGGGTTAAGGTGAGTCACGGTTGAAGTTGAAGGCAAGCCAGTGTGTTTAGAGCACAGGGGGTCAGGGGTACTGCGATAAGAAAATGATGGAACATCTTAGAAAGTTTTAAAACAGCAGGAAAAGGACCTCCACAATTACAAAGGTTCTAGTGGGGTATGAACAACGTAATGCTTGTAAGAGTCTTGTAAATTGTAAAGCACCCCATACTTTTTGCTAGACTATTGGTTCCATTTGTTTTCTTAACAAATTTTTGGTCTGGATGCCAATTAATAACCAAAAGCAGAACAGTCAAAACTAGAACCCCAGTGTTCCAATCCAGTGTTTTGCCCCTATACCACATGATTAAAAATTTCACCATTTATATCCTTTAATTCCAATTATAAGTATTTACTATGTGCAAGGCGCTTTATTTACATTGACCCATTTAATCCTCAATTCTAGAAGGTTCTATTATTGTCCAGATGAGGACAGTAAGGCTCAAAAACGTTAAGTAACTTACCCAAAGTCACACAGCTAGTAAATGCTGACACTGTTAACCAACACAGTAATTAGCTTTGGCTTAAAACATTTTGTGTGTGTGTGTGTGTATGTATATATGGGGATGAGAGAGGGAGAAAACAGAACTTGTGTATAGAAGCACATTCACACGTTTTAGTCATCTCTGTATTCCAGTCTGGCACCTAATTCCTGAGGTATTCAGGGGCCTGCAAATACCTGATGAACTGAAGATGGATATAAGGGGCTGACAAAGGATTTGAATCTGTGATTTTCTGAGGCTTTCCCCCCAAGTCATATATTTATCAGCAATTCATTTATGGCTGTATTTTCCTTGACTCTTTCTTTTTCATTGTTAAATTGAAGATTTACTATTACCTTTGTCATATTTCACAGACTTTAGCCTGGAGATAGAGTAGAGTGATAGAAAGAACAACAAACTAGTTCTAACCAATTTATAGCCTGTTCCCAATCATACCAAATGCTTTCTTTCCTTCCTGGGCCTTTACACCTGTGGTTCGTTTCTCTCTCTCTCTCTCTCTCTCTCTCTCTCTCTCTCTCTCCCCCCCCCCCCCCTCCTTAGGTTCCTTGGTTCAAGCACCACCTTACAGACGCCCTCTCTGAACACCCAATCTAAATTTGTCTCCTCATATCTTCTTTAATTCAGTTTCATTTCTTTTCTGGAATTTGCCATTCTCTGAAATCATATTTTTATTTGTCTATTCATCCCCATCCCCAATTCTAAGAGGGGAGAGAGGCCTTGTCTAGCTAGTTCTCTGGATGTATCCCCAGTGCCCCCAAACTAAGCAAACAAGCATTTAATGAATGAATGAGAAGAGAATTACCTGATTCACCTGTGTTCTCTCAAGCCCTCAATACATTTAAGCTTTCCATTCCTGGCGCTTCTACACCCGATTTCCAACAATAACACCATTTTTACATCACTCTGGGGTTCACAAAGTAGCCTTGACT